TGATCGTATCGTCAATCAGTAGACTTGCTGCAAGTCGACTTCATGAGTTTCAGGGTAGAATAGCTAAGCGAACGAAGAGAGCTGTGAGGTTCTAGGCCGCAAAGCAGCATTGTGGATGTCGCGAAGCGGTTCAGGGAAGAATAGCTAAGCGAGCGAAGGGAGCTGCGAGGTTTTAGGCCGCAAATAATCAAGACGAAGGACTTTTCTGAAAGTCTAGTCAGTCAACTGAAAATTAAAAAGCCTGAAAATCGAGTGACCTGGTACTTCCGAGTGAATTTTCTTCTTGTAAGTTACCGATAGATTCGGAAACATTGCCAAAAATCTGTTTAGTCTTCCGTCCGGCATTGTATTGCGTCACGCAATCTCCTGTGTGCTACTACGCAATATTTTTCGCGACCCCAGTCAGTAGAAACCAAATAGCTCTATAAATCAATGGTAACACACAGAGGCTCTCTCCGATTGTTTCTTTTGGGAAGGACGGCTGTCACACAGGATAGAATTGTCTCCATCGCCGTTGCCGATCAAAATAATCAACAACAGACTCTTCACGTCCGGCGTATCCCATTGGACAAAATCTCGCTAACTGCGATGGTGACAATTTGCTAACTACGGAGGAGTCGATTTTAAGATGTCAGACGGTTACTTGATAAAGTGCTGTACACCATAAACGGTACCAAAACATTACACTGACACCAGACATGTAATTTATGTTACAGGAAATGAAGTTGTTTTGTTCCATTGCGAAGTGAAAGTAACGCATTCCTGCACAGCGGTCTAGTAACACCAAATTTTCAACAGACGCGTTTTGAACGCGTTTAACGCGTATGGCAACCGTCCCAGATCCACATGAGGTACTTCGTTCAACAAAAGAAAAAGAAAATTTTCAACGTGTTACACGACTGTTAATAAGTGGAGGCACCATACTGCTGAGAGAGATTTTTGATGTGATTCACCCACCAAGTCATCTTCCCACGATACTGAAAAGTCCTGCCACAGAGAAACAACTCAGATCAGCAAAGCTTACCAAGCCACAGTGGGACTGTCTGTACCCTTCCCCTGGGGTGTACGGTACGTCAACCGATTTTGATGTTACTCTGCTGTTCAGGTTGCTGAGGACAATATGCAACCTCATCCCTCCTGCCACAGGCTGGGATGCCCTGCCAACAAGTACGGACCACAGTTTAGCTGCAGATTTGGTGAGAATTAAATATTACCGCAACTCAGTGTATGGCCATGTAAACCAACAGATGGAGATACCAGATGACGAGTTTCTGTCGCTTTGGAAAGAAATTAGCGAAACTCTTGTCAGAATTGCCCAACAAATCAGCCCTGCAAAGCAAAATGAATGGCAGAAGGCCACAGATAACTTCTTAAAGGAGCCTCTGACCGTCGAGGATGAACGAAATGTACAGGAACTGCAAAGGTGGTACAAAAACGACACTGAAGTTAAACAATACATAGAGAAATTGCAAACCTCAACTGAACAAGGTATTGAACGTTTGGAGACAAGTTTACAAGATGTCCAGGGGAAACTACAAAGAGCAGTTCACGCAATAGAAAGCAAAGGTCAAAACCTAGAGGGTGCAATTCGACAGGGAGCCAAAGAAATCAAACAACTTGGAGGAGAATTAAAAAGCACAGCTCACGAGGTTCAGTGCCTAGTAAACGCAATTCGAGAGAATACCCAAGACATCAAACAGAAACTAGGAGATGTTATGGAACAGGCGCACAGGAATAGGCTCTCAGCTAGAAGCTCACAAGTACCTGGAGGTCAGTTAATTATTTCTTCGTTGCTGGTAGAATGCTTGATCGTGTCATTCAAAAGGTTTTCCTTTATAGCAGTTCTTGTCTCACAGTCATTCTTCCTAAAACGAGGGGGAAATGAATTCAGCTGGCAAACCCAGATGGTTCTGTTATTAGGCTACCAGTAGTCCTTCTTTTGCTTAGTCCGTCAAAACGCGACCGTAAATACGCCGCGAGAAATAAATGGCCGCGCAAAATCCAGGAGACGAGAAGCGCGCTTCTCGTCCCCAGGGTTTCGCGCGGCCATTTTTCCTCGCGGTTTTCTCTCGCATCACGCACGACGGACTAAGCGAAGGACGAACTACTCGTAGTGTACTCTATTATGAGTAAGGCAGTCAAACGGGTTTTGTAGGAAAACAGAATCTCACACTTCCGATGGCCTGTTGTGAAAGTCAACTGATGTCGATAATTCAATGAACTATTTCGTGATCCGTTTCATTTGTCTGTGAGACTGTGGTCTATTAGTCTACCAGCTATAATTATACCATACCTTTGCAAAAGTGTCTTAAGATCTTAAACGAGAAAGAACACTCTAGCAATAGGGAACACCAAACTACAAACAGTACAGATCAGAAAAAAGCGAACACAAATTCACGCGAATGACGCGGTTGCAAAAAACGTCAAAACCCAGGTGCGTCTAGAAAACGCGAATTAAAAAAACGATTGTAGAGCAGCACATAACTATAACAAAAACGCGTTCGAAAACGCATCTCCACGCGCGTTTCAAAAACGCGTTTACGCGAACAACCTTGGTCGCTAATCCCTGATTTGCACTGTAACGTAGAGGTTAGGTCCTCGAAGAAATGGGCGGGATACTCTCTGATACGACCTGTCACCAGTAGGGTGTAGATTTTTTGTCTTCTTCATTATTATTGTTAGTTTTAACAGCGTTTACCACTTCAACAGCATGTATTCGACTTCGGATCGATTGCGAAGCCACCACAGAACCAGCCCCACCAGGGGGACCCTCAGAGAAGGAATCACCCTCAAATAGACCCCAGGGAGGCTTCCACGGGGGGACAGAAATACCCAACACAACACGTCAATCACAGGTAGAAGCCACAAAAGGATTTGGCTCAGCGCCAAGCATCAGCAATGGCGGCCCTCCAAGTACACAGGACATTTTGAACCTTGTTGCGTTCAAGTATTTGCAGACAGTTGATCCATCAAAATTAGAGGATTTGAATGGCTTTGTTTACTATATGGAGAAGGTGCGAAACGTGCTGATTGTTGACGCTCAGCCAGGGAGTTTGATAATTACTGTGAAATGTCCCTCTCTAGAGATACTGGAAGAATTGTGGAACGACTACTGTACAGGTCGCTTGAATGAAATGGCGCAAAAATTCCTTGTGACAGCGGAAATCCTGATGGCGCTTGGCCTTAGAGCAGTGAAACTCACTACCACTATTCTGGATGAGGAATATAGAGCTTGTCGAGAATATTTTGTTCAGCGTTTAGGTGAGTTCAAGGGCTTGGTAAATAAGGGGCAGACCATTATTTCTTTTAGGGTGAGGGGAGAGGTGGGTCGGACAATTTTCCTGGGCATGAAATTTATTTTTCTCACCTTTAGGTTGTGCACGATTTTTTGGTGAGCATAGCATGTGCAAGAATTGTTTAAAAAAGTCAAACACAGGACGTGGATAGTACAGAACACTTGCTCGATTTTTTTCCTACACGGCTCCCCTTGTGCGAAGTGTCATGGAGACGCGGTGGCCTCGTGGTTAGTGCGCTCGACTCTGGGTTCGAGCGGTCCGATTCGAGCCCTGGCCGGGAACATTGTGTTGTGTTCTCACAGTGCCTCTTTCCACCAAGGTGTATACAGTACTTTGGTATCGGCGAATTTAATACTGTGGGGTAATCCTGCGATGCACTTACATCCCATCTAGGGTGGGAGTAGAAATACTCCTAGTCGCTTTATGCTACAGAAAACAGAGATAAGCGCCGGCCTGATGGGCTACTCGGCTCGTATGCCGACCTAGCCTACCTACTTAAGTCATCTTACGTTTAATTATCCTTTTTCTCTTCAGGTCATAGAAATGGAAACGCAACGCAACTGCAACGCAAAAATCGACCATATGAGGTGACGCCGGAAGAAGGACCTTATGTGGTGACCACAAAAGAAGGGCCTTCTGAGTTGACAACAAAAGAAGGGTCTTCTGAGCTTACACAAGAAGGGCCTTGTGAGGGAACATTCGAGAAAGTACCTCGTGAACTGACGCCAAGCTATGAAGCCTCAGGTCAAGACAGCAAAATGGAAACTTTTGCTGCCGGGAAGCAACTGGAAGACCGTACTGAGAAAGCACCGAGTGCTTGCACACAGTCGATCGGACACTTGAGTCTTCAGAGGAATGATGTGGCGCAGCTCTTTGTTACGATGCCGACTGGAAAGACGATCACTTTAGAAGTAGATGCAAACGATACCATCATGGATGTGAAGAGGAAAATTCAAGACAAGGAAGGTATTCCACCTATTCAACAACGCCTCATCTATTATGGCGAGGAACTCGACGTTGACTGCACTGTGAGTGACTACAACATTCAGAACAAATCAGAACTACACTTGGGTTTGAACCGTTATGGCTTCATACAAATATTTGTGAAGACAGTAACCGGAAAGACAATCACGTTAGACGTCAAATCAGACGATTCCATCGGAATGATTAAGAAAAAAATTCAGGAGGTGGATGGGCAACGCCCAGTGGAAGTACGACTGATTGGTCATAACAAGAACCTCCAAGATGACCTCACTCTGATGGACTACAACATTAAAAGAGAAGACACTGTGTTTGAGGTTCCAAGACGTCGTGGTGGTTGCGCGATATGGTAATTCACGTAGAGACTACGACTATGGCGAGGATTACATTACACGTTACGCTACAAGATTCCAGCAAAAGCGTGAAAAAGAATATGAAGAACGAAATACCGGTCTGCCAGCCAAGATTGTTCATTGATGTCAAGAAACTCGATGACGATCACACTCTGATTGACTATAATGTAGAGCCAGGTTCTGTGGTGTCCATGTTTCCTCACCATAAGCATGGTTGGAGCTACAGCTTGATTTAAATGCGCGCACAAAGCCGGAAACAGTCTGGCGACATGACTGGAAGGTTAAACGGAGGCAGCGTGGCCGAGTGGTTAGGGCACCGGACTTGAAATCCGAAGATCGCGAGTTCAAGTCCCGCTCTGACCCTAAGCTGGAGTTGTCTATCGGTAGACCCTAGTTCAACTCCTCGGTCATGCTTGTAAATAGCCAACTGGTCTGCCTCCCGCCAGTTGCGATTTTGAAGCCTATTATGTTTATTTGAAATATTTGTTTCTTTCAGTTTAATTGGCATGACTGAGAACTAGCTAGTTGTAGCTAAGCGCATCGACCACTATAAATATTCAACATTTAATTTTTTTGAACAGCTTCTAAAAAATTTGAACAGTTCTATCCCGATATTCGAGAAACTTATTTAGCTGTGCAGCAGTTGTGTGAATGAAATTCTAGTAACAATGAAATCTTAGCTAGTGAGTATGAGATTTGCCAAAAAAAGCTTGTAATGAACTGAAGTTAGAAGTCTTTCTAATATAGTCTGGTTTGGTAATTTTCATGCTTCATTGCTTTCACGTAAACGTAAAAGTTGCTATTACTTGTAATACTTATAAAAAGCACTTTCCAAGTGCCCGTTGTATGTTTCCGAGTGTTTGTTGTCCAGCTTGATGAGGTATCGGTCTTTTAACACCGACACCTCATCAAGTTAAGTTCCTTGAAAGGAACCTTTAACATAACTATACACTAACTGAATTGCAGTAGGGACCAACTACAGATTAGTGTCCGTTGTAGGAGGTGTCCTTAATAATTAATTGTCACAAAACTAAAGCCAGCATTAAATGTCATCTATCATTTTCGTAAATTAAAGTATCTTGTCTTGGACATGTGTTGAGGTAGAATATCCCAGACAGCGGATTGTTCCACATTTTCTGTACGTATATTCCTGTACTTTATAAATCAAGTTGAGTTCAATTTGTTGTGTATTTGTGTATTTCTTTTCCGTCATTCCTTACCAAAGAACATTGCGTTCAGCTCTTTTTTGTTCACTTTTCCCATTGTGTTTCTTGGCAACTCGTCCACCACAAGAAGGACCGTGGGGATCTGGTACGGCACCATACGACCGCTGGCCCATTGCTTCAAATCAACAAGGCTCATTTTCTGTGTACAAAAAGTAAATAAGGCAGGATTCCACGGTTGCGGCCCCAAACATGAATTAAATTGATTAACACAACAAGAACATATTCATACCTTGCCGGGAGACAAAGTGACAATTGCCGCCACTCTCTCTCCCCACTCGGGATCAGGTTTGCCCAACACTGCGCAGTCTGTGATGTGATCATGTGAGAGAAGATATCGCTCAACTTCTAGAGCACTAGAGAAAAAAAGGTCAACAGCTGCTCTTAATGACTAATATTAAGGATACTTTCCACTTTCAAGGAGGGGAAAATCGATTTTTTTT